GGCGAATCTTGGTAGGTTTTCGTAGATGGATGCAAAAATCGCTCATGCTGAAAATCTAGTCTTTCCTAATTTTCTTGGACTTGGCTGAGCTATCGTGAATCGGAATATACCATTCGATAGAGCTCATCGAGTTGTACTTGGAACACCAATGGAACCTTTGGAACATGCTCCTGGGCGAATCTTGGCCGGTTTTACTGCCTAAAATCTAGGATTTTTGTGGTCATACACTAGTATTTTTAAATTTTCTCAGATTCAGTTTGAGTTATGGAAAATCTGGACACGCCATTCGATAGAGCGCGTCAAGTTGTACTCCGAACACGAATGGAACCCTTGAAACATTTTTGCTCCTTGCACTATTTTTACGTGAAAATCATGACCAAGGATTTTATGAAGGCAAGACTAAAATCAAAGTCTTCTAAATTTTTAGGCTGCTAGGCTGTTATCTAGACTTATTTCGAAGTTAGACTAATGTAGAACAGCAAAGTGTAACAAAAATACATTCTGCTTACTTAAAAACTCATTTCACCACGTTTTTATTGAAAGAAAACATGTTTCGTAAGGTTTACTTAAGAATCGTTTTAAATATTGAGCATTTCGAAAAGATTTAGTAAAGATTGATACTAATATAATTAGTATGGCAACTCTCTTTGGTTATTTGTGAACAAAATAATTATCACGTTATCTATAGTTTGAATAATTATTAGTATCAGTTCATACTCGAACGAATTGATAATGAATAATGATACTGTGTACAATACTAGTAAAGATGATTTTAGTTTGTACATTGTTGAAGCAAGAGTGACTTTTTAATAAAAGAGATTCGACTTACAAAAGAAAACTCCCTTCATTGATTGATGTAATTGGAGAAAACAATGGCAGATTTACATTTACGAAAATCTATTAAATCAAGAAAATAAATAAAAGATTAAATTTTAAATTTTTTAAAACTTATATATAAGAAATTTAATTTTTTAAATATTAAATATTATTTAAATCGATTAAATTCGGTTCTATTAAGTATCTAAATTTAAATCTTAAAGAGTTTAGATAAAAAATGTATCAAGAAAAGACCACATTAATTGGACATGGGCACCAAAGAAATAATAATTTTCAATTCAGTAGAATGGAAACTGAAAATCTAATTTAGTAAGTTTACGCGAGACTCTAAATGACAGTAGGATAAACATTTATATCATCAGATTATTTTAGTTGAACGGTTTGTATATATGTCTTATACTCCTATGTTCTCGTGTTCGAATCCGTGTCTTGACTGCATCAAAATTCATGTAAGTTATAGTTCTGAAGGTCTATGAAAAAATGTAAACGAGTATATAAATTGTACCTGCAATTCAAGATCTATGAAGTCATTGACGGTTTTCAGTTTTTTTTTCATCTAGAATGATACCACAGTTTGAGAAACGCTGCAAAATCTTTCATAAAAACAATCGTTACACAGCGTTTATTTTAGCAGATGTGAAACGCGTCAAACCGGTCAGCATTAACGCGTTTTGCAGCTATGGAAAAGTGCGTTTCCAGAACGCGTTTTTTTCGCAGAAATTTACACCATGGGCTTTAAGTGCTATTTCATATCATTTCCAAAGTCATTTTAAAGAATTTACTTTGGTTAACTCATATGCTTTGTGTTGATGAATTTCTGCAAGATTCTGTATGCAGAACGAATATATTTTGCATCATTCCAAGCAAAAACAATCCAACATACATTTGAAAAAGGAACGCGTTCCACCTTTGCCTCAATTTGTACCTGTGAAACGCGTCGCCTGTCGACCAAAGTGCGTTCGACAACATTTGAATTCGGAAACGCCTCGAAACGCAATCTTGAAAAGCGTTTCGGATCGTTTCAAAAAACAACGGTGGCAAAACGCATTTTATGTAAGTAGGAATGCTGCGAAACGCGTCCTGTATTGAAAAAACGTTGCGAAACGCATGCTACAATCTCAGAAACGCGTTACGCTGTCCGTTTCCTTCAATATTTTACTCCATGGGATGCTCCTGAGCGAATCTTGGCGGGTTTTAGTAGATGGATGCAAAATGACCTATGGTGAAAATCTAGTATTTTCTGATTTTCTTGGACTTGGTCTGTGCTATCGTGAATCGGAATACATCATTCGATAGAGCTCATCGAGTTGTACTCGGAACGCCAGTGGAACGTTTAGAACATGTTCCTGGGCGAATCTTGGCGGGTTTTACTGCATAAAATACAGGATTTTTGTGGTGATACACTAGTATTATCAAATTTTCTCAGACTCAGTTTGAGTTATCGAAAATCTGAACAGGCCATTGGATAGAGCGCGTCAAGTTGTACTCGGAACACGAATGGAACACTTGGAACATGCTCCTGAGCGAATCTTGGCGGGTTTTAGTCGATGGATGCAGAATCATCTATGGTGAAAAGCTAGTATTTTCTGATTTTCTTGGACTGTGTTTGAGCTATCGGGAATTGGAATACACCATTCGATAGAGCTCATCGAGTTGTACTTGGAATACACCTTGGGACAGTTGGAACATGTTCCTGGGCAAATCTTGGCGGGATTTACTCGAATCTGGTGCTAACTTCACCTACGTCCTTGAGGAGAAGCGTTTCTCTAGTGAAAAACCATAGTACACAATTCTAAGAAACTGATCACAGATTCGAATTCTTCGATCCCAAAAATTTTTCATCAAACTATATAAAAGATCGCTATTTTCCTTTCAATAGCTATTTCTTGACAAGAGAATCAAATCCACGAGTTTTCTGTTATTCAGTAACTGCTAACGCAATGGTAATCCCTCTCATCTGAATCAAACTGAAATGATTGTAGATAGCAGTGAAATATATATGTGAGATAATGTCAAGTGATTTCGAACATTATAAAATATTTGCTAACTTGTCAGAAACCGATTTAAAAAGCCGTATGAACACATTCGAATCGACTCGTCCTCATGGTTTCTTTCATACTCAAAATGAAAAACATATATGATATGTTAGGTCCTGTTGTATTTGGACTAATGAAAATATTTGGAAGATGTTTTTATTTTGCATGTGTATAACCTTGAGGAAACGCGAAAATCTTTATTATTTTTTCAGAAAGTGTGTTCTAGAAAGCTGCAAACATGCTTTATAAAGAAATCTCTGTCAAATTGACCAATGATGTTCAATGTGTTACGCAAGTTTGTATGGATGGGTGTGGGTGTGGATGTGGTTGGGTGTGGGTGTGGATGTTAATCTTCTGTTCATTCACACCCACACCCAACCCACACCCACACCCCAATAGAATGAATTTTGACAACTTTAGGCTTTACCAATTATGATTCTTCAACTCCAATCGTTGCTATTCGTAGTGTCATCATTAACTTTTTATTGGAACATGAGAGTATATGTTTCATGTCTAATTTACCCGCAAATCGTTCTCGTGAATCACGATTGACAAATACTGTTAGTCTTAACATAACCAATGATAAATATATGTATCACTTAACGAAATATCAAAGTTGAATGTATGTATCTATGCGAATTGCATCGTTTATGCATTAGTATTTTTTATAAATATTGAACCCAGGTCGAAAAGTACCGGCCGGTTCCCGCAGGAAAACACCGGAAATAGCCGGAACATGGAAGCAGTATTCCGGCCGGAAATTTTCGGAATTTTTTCCGCTGATTTTCCGCTCGGTTCCTGCCGGAAAACACAGGAAATTGGCCGGAATTCACCGGAAAAAATCCGGAGAATTTCCGGCCGGACTACTGCTTCCATGTTCCGGCTATTTCCGGTGTTTTCCTGCAGGATACGGTGATTTTTCCCGCATTTTCCTGCCGGTTCCTGCAATATCCGGTGGCCGGAACGATCGACCTGGGAACTGATAAATTAATAAAAAAAATGTATTAATCGTTCATATTACTCTTGATAGTATTTAAAGAGAGTTCTTAATGAATAATATTTTGTTTTCAATATCGAGTCGAAATTTTTATTTAAAAGGCCTGAAAACGTCTTTTCAAGTTTTCATTTAAACACCATGTATTTTCCATTCAGTCACAAATGTGGAGCAATTAAAATGATGAATATGTAATAAATATCGAAAAAAAAATATATAGAAAGATAAGTTGTGAGCTGAGGAGTGTAGTAATATATATATATATTTTATAAATCTAAAATTTTTTCATAAGAAACAGTTATTTTTCTGAGAATCACCGTCAAATTCTAAGTAAATGACCAATTTAGAAAAGAAAAATGCATGTAGTGATTGAATTAGAAAATCGACAGAATAAGTAAAAGTGTCAACCTTTCATTTTTGTAATCGTCAGTGCTCATTTAAAAATAATTAATTAATCAAATAAAATCAATAGAAATGCAGAGTGTCATTGATACTACCCCGGAAAAAAAGAATGAGCTCAAACGGACGTTTTCGAGCAAAGATATGAGCTTTTTTTTCCAAAAAGTATTGAAATTAGTGATCGAATTTGGACTCGCTACTCTACATAATCTTTTCGTGCTATTTGTAAATAAACAAAAAAATTTTGTTTTTTTCTGAAATATCACATCTGTTTTACTGTGAAAAGATATTCTTCATACATTTACACAATATTGGTAGTTCAATCATAACATAAACAAACAATTGAAAGAAAAATATCTATTGAAAAAATGCTTCAATACATTTTTGTAATCACTAGCGACATATTTAGCATCAAATTGATATGTTAGACAAAAATTGTGCATTTTATTTTCTAGAAAAATTTATTTATAGTATTTATATGACAACTTTTTTCTTATGTAATTGTAAGAAATAAATGTCACTATTGATAGCATATTATGTAGTTGATTGGTGTTTTTTTTTTGCTACACTTTTTTCTTTGTATGATCGTCGATCCTATGGAATTAGTTATTTTTTTGTCTTTTCTACTCTCGATATTCTAATGTTTTGAATTTCATACATTCAATGAATTAAGAGATTGACATTATCAACGAACTACTTTACTGTAGAAAAATTACACTGGTTAATGATCGTTCATGGATAGAACTAAACGAAAATTAACTTTTGCTGAATTATCTGCAGTGAAAACAAAGAAATTGCAAAGTAAGTTAATTAGTAGATATAAAGATCTTTTTGTTTTTTGTTTTTTTATTTTCGTATATATTTATAGATAAGACAATTCAATCGATCACTTCTATTGAGAATTTATGTGACGAACTTTTCTATGAAATTTTTGATTATTTATATGTTAACAATATCTATCAGGCATTTTCAAATCTTAATTATCGCTTCGAACAAATTCTTCATGCATCATGGCCTTTATTGCATTATATTTGTTACCATACAACATCAGAGATATCATCTGTCAATGATAGTTATAAGCAATTTCTTGCTCATAATAAACATAAAATAGTTTCTCTTCATCTATACTTTTACTCATCAACCAATGATCTATTTCAGTTTATTACCATCGACGCATCATTTTCTTGTCTCGAATCAATTTTGATTAATGAAAATAGAAACGATGGTTCACTCATAATTTTACTACTTCGTCATTTAGTCTGTTTACCTCGACTTTTCTTTTTGTCTATTTGCACAGGCAAATTGAACGATCCAGATAATTTATTTCAATTAATATTCGCTTTATCTCAATTAAAATCATGTCGATTTACGTATTTTTCGGAACGTGATATTGCACTTCCAATTGCAACTAGAAAACAACATAGTACAATTGAAACTCTTGCTTTGTATACAGTTGATACTTGGAATGAGATTCTTACTCTTACGTCTTATACATCTAATCTTCGTCGTTTGATAACACCGTGTGGTATGGATCGTGATATAGATATTGAAACGTTATTACCATTACGATTATCAAATTTGACTTACCTACGAACATGTTTCAATTATTTAAATTTTCATGAATTTGAAATCTTTATTAAAAAAATTTATTCACCATTGAAAATTTTACATGTTGAATTTTTAGTTGAAGATGTAAATTTTCGTGATAGTGATTGTTGGGAAAATTTAATTTTAACGTCTTTATCTCATCTAGAAGAATTATATTTAATATATAAAGAAAGATTTCCTCCTTCTGATGACCTAATATTTTCTGGTAAACTAAATCCATTCAGTTCACCATTTTGGATTGATCGACGATGGTTTTTTGAAGTTGAAACTGATATTAATTTTGTTAATTACATTGTTCGTCCATATAGGTACGTTGAAATTTGATTTTCATATATAAGTTCATCTTTAGTTTTCGATTTTGAAATTGAAAATAAAAATATTGATTATCATTACTCGACTTTTAATTAACTATATAAATAAGAAGATCAAGAAGAAAACATTTTCAAATAAGAATTCTCTAAAAAAAAAGAAACTGTATTAGTAGCAATTTTCGAAGTAACATGAATACAATCAGTTTATCTTTAACCTTTTAGAAATATTTATTAATTCTTTATTATAGTTTTCAAAATTTCGAAATTTTTCACAAAAATCTAATTGTTTTTTTTTTCATATAATATGCATTGTGTTATATACATTTTATTCTTTTTTACAGAAAAAAATGGTATGAAGATGTAAAAAATGAAGTTTTACATTCTTCCATTGAATATTCAAAATTGATTCAGCTAACTATCAATGATACCGATGATGATGATTTTTATACAACATCATTTATTCTTAAGCATATTTTAACAATAACAAATATTCATTATTTAGAAATCGAAAGATCTATAGATATTCCATTATTCATTCGACTTCTCAATGCCTTAACAGATGTTGAGACGTTGAAAATATATTCTATAATATGTGATGACCGAAAAGTGGATTATAAAAAGTTTTCAGTGGCAAGTTCAATAAAGAAAAGAAGTAAAATTAAAAATGTTTATATAAAAAATGTAAAGAATATTGATGACATATTTTTACTTATGACATTGTGTCCTCATATAACTTATCTCAAAATAGATAATATTAATGTTATAAATCAGAATGTTAATGTCGAATCGATTGTAAATGATTTCATCAACAGAAGTTGCAATAATCCAACAAATTTAGTTCGTTTGCTTTGTTTTCGTATTCCAGCAGCAGATGATGGAACTATTGAAAAATTAAAAAGAACAATAATTACTAATGGAATCACTTGCGACTATACTATCAAACGTATAGTTGATCGTGTTTATATAGAATGGAAATTAGAACCAACTATTGATTCTTCATAAAAAAAATATCTTTTTTTTTTTGTTTTTTGTTTTTGTTCAATAAAATAAATGGTTATTGATTGTCAAAGCAGAGGTTTAATGTTTGCAAATTTCTTTGCTTTGTGTAATAATAACTAATGTAAGATATAGAAATGATTATAACAGATCATAATTCAAGAACTACAATAAAAAATTCATGTTGTCGGAATGCATTTGATTTACCGAAATATGAAATAAAAATCATCATGCCATTACTTGAAGTTGCCCATTAATAGTGATATTAAAAGATCATGTTTTCTATAGAAATTTAATTTCAAGTTTGTTCCACACATGATGCAAGACGGGGAGTGGGTGTGAATGTTTCTTCTTCTTTACACCAATATGTCACATCCACACTCATCCAACATTTCAGCACGAGAAATTCGAATCACAAATGATGTGGACGCAGGGGAGTTTTATGTGGGTGTTCGAAGAAAAAGAAAATACAGATGCAGCCATGCCCACACTCAAATTTTCTATATCAACGATGCGCTATGATGGACAATTAATTTAGTTTCCCTAAGTTAAAATGGGGGGGTGGGGGGGGGGGGGGGGAACTGGGGGTGGGGGGGGGGGGGGGGGGGTGTAGGCTCTTAATATCTCAAAATCTCGAAGCAGGGAGGGCGTAACGTCTTCGTTCGTATGGATTCTGCACTAAAATACCCCTAAAAACGCAGTTTTTTCGATTTTTTTGACCAAAAAAAATCAAATTTTCAAAAGCAGGGGGCGTCGCGCTCCACCCTATTTACGCTCCTGCAGACTCTTATTCAAATTTCTCACCAATCCGCATTGTGGTTGTTAAAAATTATCGAGATTCTTTCAAAACCACCATAACTCTCGAACAGTCTCAAAATTATTCGTAGCAATCATGGTTTGAATGACAGAGAATGATTTTATCAAACATCTATTAATTTTATTCATCTTGGTGCATCTATAATCGCAACCTGTATATAGTTTCATTAGGTTTCCCATTCATCAACGTTTCAAGAACAAACAGAGACAGATTTGACCTCATATTATGTGTTTTATTTTTATGATTTTAAGAAACTCAAGAAGCAATTTTCATATTTTGTTAGCTTCTCTCTTGTTTTCAAAAGATGTGTACAAACAAACGAGTCGATGCTTAGCAGTGAGACAGCATGGTAGCTTTCGCAAACCATGACTGTTCATATTCATATTGCTTGTTCATTGCGTTTGATTGATACGTGAGATCTGATTCACTTATTCTACGCCTCTTTGACAGAATTTTGCAAGCAAAAAAATACATATAAACCAAACACAAGGTTTAACATTCAGATCAATGGGTCTGCTCATGTATTGATGATGAATACGGTTCCTTTCATGACCTCTCAAGCTCGAGCCATATTTTCGATAGGATCCACAAACAGGATTGAACTACCTGAGTACTCAAAAGTATTAGATATTTATGGTAAGAACAAAAAATAAAAACAACAATCACTCGTCTGCAGTACCATGATGAATTGTGCTTGTACTACTATGACATCAACAGGAATATGCTGTACTGCTCAACCATGACCATTACACAATGGAGAGCCAGATAGACATGTGCGAAAATATCCTTTTCCAGAATCTAACCGTTTGCATGAATACCTGCATGTGTGATCTATCATTTTCTAAAATAGCGGTTTTCAAAGTTGTATACAGTCCGAGAAAAGAATCTGACAAAGCTTTCGCTCAGAAATTGGCATAAATAAAGTCACGTTGCTGTATAATATAACATAATATTTCACTAACAAACAATATCACAAAAGCCTTGCTCACCTGTGAGCTTAAAGTTGAAGAAATGATCGTGATACAATTTAAAATAGACTAGAAATCAAAAGAGTTCCCAGACCTGAAACCTACCGGAACACCTACCGTTCCGTATATTGCGGATCCTACAAGGACATAATGTCATATCGAGCTCAAATTCTGACCAGATAGTACTTACAGACGCATGTATCCTAATAATGGTAGTAGCGCTAACTTCTGAAATCTTTCTTAGGCTATTCTGGAAGTATTCCAAAAACCTGATGTCTCTGGTCGGAAATTCTCAATTTTAGGTATTCGTACTACAGTGTGAAGGAAAACTAAGGTGATATTCGGAATCAGCGCGTCGAGCTGCGTCGTAATCAGGGTTGCCAGATCTTCTGAAATGGCAGGAAAGCTTCTGAATTTCAAAACTTTTTCTGATTTTATTCTGACCTTCTGATTTTTCTGATCTTTCAGGTTTTTTTCGATTTTTCTGGTTTTACTGTTTCGCTGCGATATTTGTCCAAATTCTATTTCTGAATGAAGACTTTTCTCAAATTGATTACGATCATAATCGTTAGCCATATGAAACATGTATGGTCTGATTATCGTAATTGCATGGACATAAAACTAGTTAGTGCTGAACTTAAGATAAGGATGAATGCTAATTATTCTTGTGAACAGTTCTAAAAACATATTTCAACTGATAAACATTTATTGCAGCAAATTCGAAAAATGAAAAATATCAATAGTATGGAACTCATATTGAATGAGTCGTTTTTTTAAATATCTCTTGATGTATATAGTGTATTTCTCGGTTTGTTTTTGCTCATTTTATGTGAAAAACGTTTTGAGTTTAGTAAAAAGTCTGATACTAGATGTCTTTTGCTAGTTTGTGTGATATTCGGTGAACTACATATTCTTATTATTATTGTTTTTTTATGTTAAATATCTTCGAAAATAAATGAAGAATAGATGAACAAATTACAACTAAAGCATTTTGTAATAGTTTGGTAAAATAATAAGTGCCAATTTCAACATATTAGCCTTTCTGATTATTTTCTGATTTTCGAAAAAAAATTCTGAATATTTTCTGATTTTGATAGTCGGAATTTCTGATTTTTAAATTTTTGATCTGGCAACCCTGGTCGTAATATAGATATATAGTAGTTTCTAAAAAAAGTTTTCGCTCATTTTCAACAAAAACTCCGGCCCACATAGCAACCGCTTCGGACTTTGCACACTCGATGAAAAGTAACGCTCGATCGAGTTGAATTTTTTACCAGATACTTCTACGTGTGAACTCTACTGATAGTAGTAGCGCAAATTCATGAAATATATGCTCGGTTCTGTAAGAGATACCTCAAAGCTCAAGTTTTTAGTTGAAAATTCGATTTTTGACATTCAAATTGTATTTTTGGAAGGAAATGTAGGCAATATTCGGGATCAGCTTATCAAACTAAATCAATTGATGTAAAGCTCGATTTATTTTTTCAAAAACATTTCTCGACAAAGTATAGAATGGGTTGTTCAGGCATATTTGCCAGAAAAAAGTTTTTCTTGAAAAATGCTTTTCCTTCTTAAAATGGTTGTCTGGCTGATATACTATTTTTTACGAAGAAAAGAAGAGCATTTTCGCGCAAGTAAGTCGCATCTTTAACTGCTAACGTGGAAGCTGTTCCCAGCCCAAGGACATCTCTTAGGTTTTTCTCGTCAAAAAATATTGTTTTCGAAAGCTTTTATTGATTTTTTTAAATGCGACTCCTTGAGTAATATATGGTCATAATTGAGCAAATAAAAGTCGTTTTCGAGCAAGAAAGTTGCATGTCCGCCTGCTAATGCGAAACCTTCCCATTGTGGCTAGGACCGTTCGAGCTTGATCGTGATCTTGAACAATGTCGATCTCCATCGATCCATCTTGGTGTTGATTTTCTAAATGTTGTCTTCTCATACATACAACATACATATATTGTTTCGTAAAAGTGAATCTCAAGTATAACCAATGCAATTGTACAATACAAGTGATACAATATTTATGAGAAGGCAAAATTTAGAAAATCAACACCAAGATTGATCAATGAAGACTAACATTTTTCAAGATCGAAACCGAGCCCCAGGTACTCGATGCTTGCTCGGGCTCGACCCATGCCTAGTGATCATTTCTAAAATTATTGTTAAAATGACAGTAATAGTATAAGGCCATCATGCAGATTGTTTGCCTCATTTATAAGAGACAGATAATGATACAATAGTCAACAGCTGTCCATAGTTATTTTAATTGAGGATTTATTCCTTCTCTCGTGTGATGAGGATGAAGAGAAGAGCCTTAAGTGCAAATCCTGCACACCTACATCTTCCGTGGCAGTAGAATTACCTATGTACAATAGTATTGGCAATTGATTACCAATCAATCATATGTGAAAATATTATTTTTACAACCAGATATAACTTGAGTAGAAAGTTTGTGTGTATTTAGAACAATGTAAACACTTGTTATGTTTATGAGTACATTACTTCTACTTTACAATTGGAACGCCTCATCAAGCAGCATTTATAATACAGCCATATATGTCACAGTCATAATGTACATCATCATAGATAAACAAAATGAATATGACGGTGATTCCTTTGTTTTTGATAGATAAAATGAAGAGGTAAATGTCCAAAAATTTTTTTTGTAAGACATCAATACATGTTACATGATTCTCTTTCCATAAATCAAAGTTCTCTATCCGAACAACAAAATACAATCAACTAAAACATTCAATATTCATTGTGTTCATAAGATACATACTTCTATATTAATAATATAATTGTTATTTTAGTGTTAAGTAGCATGTATGAAGAACGATCTCGAGCTCAAAAATGATTTGCTTAATAAAAACAAAAAGTGTCTATGTAGTTAAAAGTTATAAAACGATTTTCTTCATTCGAACAAAAAGTTTTTATAAACTAAATAACCTACAATGCATAAGTGCTCGAACGTAAAATGCTATGGTTTAATATATTGAGTTTTACTGTTATCCTTCCGAGTTATTAAAATCTCTAAGTATATAGAAATTAGCACTCAGTGATATTTTCTATACATTATTTGTTGCGTCATTGACGAGCTCAAAGTTTTGCTTTTAAAGCTAATTATTGGCTACCTTTTTCTGCGTTTTTAATCACATCAAAAATTAATATCTCAACTGTGTGTAGCTTAGATTGGTGCTGAATATTTATCAATAGTA